TTTGAGACAGAGTCTCACTATGTAGAGACTGACCTGGAACTCACTATGTAGCCCAGGCTGGTCTCCAACTCACAGCGACCACATCCCGCTGTGCTAATGTAATATAGGCAGGCCGTACTTTGTCATGATAACCACCAATATTTCTGGCCCTTAGTATCATGACTGTGGACTACAAGTTTTTTAAAAAAAAAATACAGCCTGGCATGGTGGCTCACACCTGTAATCCTAGCACTCGGGAGGCTGAGGCAGGAGGATCGCTGTGAGTTCGAGACCAGCCTAGGCTACATAGTGAGTTCCAGGTCAGTCTCAACTACATAGTGAGATCCTGTCTCAAAAAACCCAAACAAAAAACAAACAAACAAAAAACCACCCCAAAACAACAAAAAACAAAGACAACTCACTTGCCCCCATCAGATGGAAAGACTTATTGTCCTAAAAATTCTGCTCCTAGTTAACTCTGCTTGCCACTGCTGTGGTTACATTCATGGCCTTAGCACAAAATATACAAAATGGACAGTTTGTCAATCACTTAACAAAAAATATTTCTTATGCCCTTGAGACCCCGAAAGATGACGTTAAGTCTAAAATACAGGTTCATGCCTTAACAGCCAGTGTTAGAGATTGATAATCAAGTCAAAACCCTACAATATCGCCAGTTTCCTCACCCCTGAGGGCGTGACAATATCTGTTCTTGATTCGTTAAATAGATTCAATTATTTCAACCCGGTCCAACATACATTGCTATGATCTGAAACATTCTGATTTTCCTGTTGTTACTAATCATGTTTGCTAGTTCTCTACAAAGTCTTCCTAAGGCAACTCACTGAACTTGCCTTGAGACATCATCACAAGCCGCATTACAAAATAGAATGGGGGTCAAGCATTGTCTCCTGCAGAACCTAGCCATGCTCTCTGTTCCACTCAGGCATCGCCTTTGGGTTTCCTCATCTGCACTTTAAATAAAGGCGTTGAGGATAATACGCCAAGTGTTTTGCCTCATCCAGACCAAGAGTTGCCACCTGGCCTCAGCTATGTAAACTTTACTGTGGTCTTTGTCTTCTTTGCGTTTCTTCATCTCTCACCATAGTTTCTCACTCCATAAACCCTTCAGCTACGCAAGCCATGGCAGTCACCAAGGGGACAGGAGGTTTTGAGGAAGGTGGTCCACACTGGGGTGGGTCTAGGTAGTGACTCACGGCTACTCCAGGGTGGGTCTTGGATCTGACAGGGCAGGGGCCCAGAGGTTCCCTCCCTGGAGCAGGGCAAGGGCAGGAGGAGCCAGAGCCCTGCCTTGGACCCCCTGGACCAAGATACCATGTGCCCATGGTGTGGAGGAGGAAACTGAGGCAGGGGTGCCATACACAGCCCCTGGAGCACTCAGCAGTCCTAGCGGAAATGGGGCACCCCTATCCAGGGGACAGGTACACTTTCAGCCACATCCATGGGGACGGGCCACGCAGTAACCGTGAAATGCCCTTGCCTTCCTTTTTCTGCCCACCAAACTCTTACGCACTCTGCAGAGCCCAGCTAGGAAGCCCTTCTACACATTTGCTAGGACTGCCGCAGCTAAGTGTGATGGCTGTATCTTTTTTGGTACTGGGGATTGAACTCAGGACCTTCTACTTGCGAGGCAGGCAGCAGCACCACCAAGCTAAATCCCTGGCTCAGTGGCAGAGTGTCTTGATGGGAATTTCTTCTCTGGCTGCTCTGAAGGTCAGAAATCCGAAGTCAGCACTAAATCTTGCTTGGGCCCCAGCTGAAGGTCCCTTGTTTATAGCTGCTGGACATCCGTGTCCCATCACTGTCACCCAGGAGTCCAAAGCTGACACTGTGGGTCGCTCGTGTTGTGTGTATGTGAGGTTGACAAAAGCGTGACGAGGTTGGCAGGCAACAGTCCTGGAGTGCCCCAACTCCCTCAGCTCGGGAAGGACTGATGGCCAGCCCAGTGCTTCTGGTTTCCAAAGAGACCCAGATGGACCCACAGCTTACTTTTCCTCCTCACGGATGTGGCTGGGATCTCCTGTCTTCTTCATAGGATCCTCCATCACCTTCCCATCACCCTCTATTGTCCTCCCATCATCCTCCATCATTACCCTCCCATCATCCTCCATATCCTTCTATCATCATCATTTACCCATCATCCTCTATCACTTCACCACCCTCCATCACCCTCTCATCTACTCATTATCCTCCCATCCTCACCCATCCTCTCTCATCCTCCCATCATCCTCCATCATGTCCCATCATCCTCTCTCATCCTCCCATCATCCTCCATCATGTCCCATCATCCTCTCTCATCCTATCATCCTCCATCATGTCCCATCATCCTCTCTCATCCTCCCATCATCCTCTCTCATTCTCCCATCATCCACCATCATGTCCCATCATCCTCTCTCATCCTCCCATCATCCTCCATCATGTCCCATCATCCTCTCTCATCCTCCCATCACCCTCCATCATGTCCCATCATCCTCTCTCATCCTCCCATCATCCTATATTATCCCCTATCCTGTCCCATCATTTTCTACCACCTCCAATCATCCCCCATCGTCTTTTTTTGCTGCCTACAAAACCCACTTATTATTTTTATTTTTATTTATTTTTTGGTTTTTGAGACAGGTCTCCCTGTATAGTTGAGACTGACCTGGAACTCACTATGTTGCCCAGGCTGGTCTCGAACTCACAGCGATCCTCCTGCCTCAGCCTCCCAAGTGCTGGGATTACAGGCGTGCGCCACCACACCTGGCTTCTGCACCTTCTTTATGGTGGAATTTGCCACAGAAAATTACTGTTTCCCATCTCTGTTACTGGTAGCATAGCCAGCTATTTGGCTCCATCAACTTTCATCACCCTCCCATCATTCCTCCTACCACTCCCCCGCCGTGCTCCCGCTCTTTCCCGTCTGTCCTGTCACCTTCCCCCCATATCCAAATCACTCGTCCCAGCATCTTCTCAGACCTGCTCAAATGACTTCAGCCCTGGCCCTGCCCGTGGTACGTTCCTCCCATAGCCACCAGAGGGCGCCGGAGAGCAGTTGCCTCCGACTGATCACTCCCGGGCTCCACGGCCCTCCTTGAACGCCACCTCCCCTGGAGTCAAAGCCAAATCCTCAAGTGGGCTCGAGGCCGTTGCGTGGCCCCGTACTCTGCTGGGGACACCTTCTCCGTATCTCCCGAAGGTCCCCTTTTCCCTCCTCCAGCAGTCTGCGCCGTGTGTCCGCAGGAGGCTTCTCCTGACCTCCCCATCACACGGTGGCTCTCGCGGTTCCTCCTCTCCTTAGCTCCTTCTCCGTACCCTGCAGGTGGGCTCCACCGAGCCGGCCGGAGCCTCGCCCTGCGTCCTGGCCGGGCTGCCCTCTTCTGCGCATCGATGGC